CTCACTTTGTAGCCCAGGCTGGCCTCAAACTCACAACAATCCTCCTGCTTCAGCCTCCCAAGTGCTGGGATTATAGGCATGCACCCAGCTAAGTCTGTCCTCTTGCACCCTTCACCTCTCTGTCCCTGTTCCCTGCATCCCTTTCCTATTCTCTGCCCACTCCTCGCATTCTTCTCTCTCAGGCCCTCTGCCTCACATCCCTGTCGCTTCCCGGCCCCTGCCAGCCCTTCTGTCCAGCTTCCTGGACAGTGCATCTTCAGGAAGGAGGGCACTCGGTAGCACCTGGAGAATGACAGATGCCCAGCTGTTCCTTTCTGCCCCCCATCCCCATGGCTGCAGCAGGGAGGGTGGGCAGAGGGCGAAGGGCGGAGGGCAGAGGCCACAGCCGGGGCCCAGCATGCACTCGCTGAGAAGAGAAAGAGGAAGTGAAAGGATGTGGGGCGGGAGTGCGTGCGGTGCTGAGTGGGCAAAGGCTACCGGAGAGCTGTAAAAGGAGCTGCTCCTGGCTTTATGAGGCAGCTCTGGGCTTGAGCCTGGACTTCGCCCGGGAGGATGTTGGCACCAGACAGGGTGCCAGGTGTGGGCCCCATATGATAAGGAGCCTCAATAAAGAAGACCAAGAACCTGGGGTCAAGAGGACCAGGGGCCAACGGGCAGCCACGGGGCAACCCCCCAGGCTCCTGCCTGAGGGTTGGTGCCAGGCCAGCAGGGCCCAACCTCCAATGGGCTCCCACCCCCTGTAACAGCAACTCCATGTGGAAGTACCTGCTGATTCCAGTGGGGCTGCTGTTATCTGGGGTGGGGGCCCGGATCCACGGCCGGGGCAGGAGAGGCAGCCGCCACACAGCGGGCCAGCAAGGACCTCCGCGGTGACGCCCCCAGGCCCAGGATGGCAAGGGGCAGCAGGCTGCCAAGACCGAGTGCACAGGGCTCTGACCTATGAATTGACAGCCAGTGCTCTCGTCTTCCCTCTGGCTGCCAATTCCATAGGTCACAGGTATGTTCGCCTCAATGCCAGCCGCCGGGACCTGCAGGGGCAGGGGTGGGGCAGGGCAGGGCAAGGCAGGGCAGGGGCGGGAGGTGGGGGTTCCAAGGGTTACCGAAGACCTTGCCCCCTAGCACAGCACTCACTTCCGTTTCCCCTTTGGTGAGCCTGACCTGCCTCTGCACCCTGCCTGTGCTGTTCTCTCTGCGTCACACGCTTCCCAGCTTTATTGCCAGGCTTGCTCTTACCACTGCTGCCTCCTAGCCAGAAAGGCTTCTTCTGTTTTTTTGTGACACAGTCTCACTATACAGTTCAGGCTGGCCTGGAACTCCCTGATGTAGCCCAGGCTGGCCTTGAACTCACAGTGATCTTCTTGCCTCTGCCTCCCTGAGCGCTGGGACTTCAGGCATGCACTACCTTGCCTGGCTGTATCATTTTAAGATAGTCTCATTAAATTGTTGCTACATTGCTCAGGCTGGGTTTGAACTCGAGGTCCTCCTCCCTCAGCCTCCCATGCTTTAGGGTTTTTTGTTTTTTTTCCAGTACCAGGAATCGAACTCACAACCTCACGCTTGCCAGGCAGGCGCTGTGCCGCTGAGCTAAATCCCCAGCACCCCCATGCTTCAGGGTTATGGGCATGGGCCACCATTCCCAGCTTCCCAGAAGCCTTGAAGCATTTGATCCTCAAGCCCACCTAGGCACCCCAAGTTCCTGTGCTTCCTGGGGCTCCTCAGGGAGCCCAGCACAGTTTGGACTTGTGTTCCCACTGTCCCCACCGCCATGAGGTTGGCCTCCACCCTGCAAGGGCCGGGCGCTCGCTCAAGGAACGTCTGCTGAGCAGACCCCCAGCCTAGCTTCTGCTGCAGATGCACGCCCCTCCCCATGTCCAGCGTGGCCTTGAGGGTCAGGCTCCGTCAGACACCCCCACCGAGGGTGGGGACCTGAGCCAGCCTCCCCTCCGGTGCTCCTCTCACCTTTCCCTGCCAGCCTCACCTGCCTGGGGTGCAGCCTGGACCCCAGACTCCTCCTGAGGCTGTAAGTGACTGGGGAGAGCAGCCAAGGACAGCCCTGCCCACCCCTGCCTCCCTCCGTGACAGCAAAATCCCACCCTCGCTTATCCAATGAGGTTCCGGGCAAATTTCCATGTTACAAAAAAAGATTTCTGCTGCTAAGAAATAAAATTTTAAAAAACTGAAACAAACAAAAAAAAACAACCCTGCTTAATAACAGGAATGAACGATGGAGCCCTCTGTGTGCCAGGCACTGGCTCCTGTCTCCCGGGGTCCCTCGGGCACCTTTGCAAGAGCTCCCTCAGGCCTGAGGCATAGGCCCCCCAGGGCGGCGAGCACCGCTAAAGTCACAGAGCAGGTGGGACCTGCTCCCTCCAAGGACCTCTGCTGCAGCAAATGACTGACCCCTGCTCGGCCCTTTTCCATGAGTAGCTTCCTTCCTGCTGCCCTGTCGTTTGGATCCCTGGGCCCCATCTGCCCTGCTGAGGTCCAGCTGAGATGCCTCCGGGCCACAGAGCCTGCACCTCTACCTGCACCCAGCTCTGTGGGCCACGCCCACACCCTTATCTCCCTCCCTGCAGAGCTAAGGAGTTCTGCGAGCTTATCTTACCCCGTGCTAGTCTCAGACTCCATGAGAGCAAAGTCCACCACTTACTCATCTTCCTGGGCCTGGTTCCCTACCCTCCACACAGTAGGTGTTCGGCAAACAGCGGGGCGCTGTACTCTGACCTTTCTGCGGGTGTGGGGCCCCAGGCCTGAGACACTGGCTTGGGATTGAACGGGGTGTCGGACAGTCCCTGGCCCTGGGTTTTGTCCTCCACCTGCCTCTACCCAACGCATCCCACAACCCTCCCACCTGGGGGGAAAGGCAGATCCAGTTTCCTGTGACCTGGACCCTTGACCCTCACTAACCAATGCCTTTCCCTGGGCCCTGTGGGCCCCTGGCAGTGGCAGTCACTGCCTCTTTGTTTCTTGCAGCCTTGGACACAAATACGCCCTGGAGGACGGGCAGCATCCGAGAACGGAGATGCCTGGGGAGGCACCAGGCCCTGGCGGAGTGGTTGGCACAGGGTGGGTGGTGGGAGGCCTGAGGCAGATGCCAGTCGTGGCCAGCACTGTCATCACGGCACATTTGTGAAACAGCTACGCTAACCTGAATTGAGTCCCAACTGCTTCTTAAAGGACCGAGGGGCAAGGCATGGTCAGAGTCTAGCGGCCTAGCTCAAGAAAGATTCCTGAGACCAGCCCTGCTGGTGCATGCCTGCGATCCCAGCACACGAGGGGCTGAGGGAAGATCACAGGTTTGAGGCTACCCTAGGCAACTTAGTGATCTAAACCCTGTTTCAAAATAAAAAAAAAATTAATAATAAAGGGGTGGGGATGTCGTTCAGAGCACACGCACGCGCGCACACACACACACACACGTAGAGGAGTACTGAGAGGGGCGAACTGGAGCTCAGCTTTTGCTGCAGGGAAGCCTGGAAATAAGCCACAAGCGCGAAGATACAGAATCCCTGGGCGGGAGGGTGCAGGCTCGCGCCCCTACAACTTGGTCCCTGCACTCGCCGCCAGAGGGCGCGCTGGCCACCGCTCGGTGTGCGGCCCCTGCTCCAGCCCAGCCTGAGCAGCGCCTGCTGTCTCCCCAAGGATTCTCTATCCAGTGCCGGTTCCTTGTGCAACAGCCACGGGAGTGGAGAAAGGACCTCCTGGCCCTGCAGGACCCCCAGACGCGTCCTCACGAGTCCCCAGGTCAGCACGATCCTGCCGTGATGGCACAGTGACTGCTCCCTTCCGGTCTCTGGGGTTAATTCCCAGCTCCACAGCCCCAAATACTCCGGTTCCTTTGCAGTTTTTTGTTTGTTTGTTTTCTCCCAGTACGGAGGATTGAACCCAGGGCCTCGGAACCACATTCTCAGCTCTCATTTTATTTTTTATTTTGATACAGGGTCTAAGTTGCTACATAGCCCAGTCTGAGCTTTAAATGTGCAATGCTCCTGCCTCAGCCTCCCAGGGTGCTGGGATTACAAATGGGGCTGCTGTGTCCTGCTGGTCCCACGTGGCTCTGGAGCCCTGGTTCCTGCACTTCCAGTCACTTCTGCAGAGCTCTGGTGCACGAATAGGATATTTTTACTTTTTCCTTTTTACAATAATTGGTCTTTGCAACCCCTACCCAGGGTTACCAAAGGAGCAGAGCTGCGGTGAGTGTTGCAACACCCCGGATTCCAGCCTCAGCCCTTCTCCGGGCACTGCTCGGTCACTGGGCAGCAGATGGGACACTGGCCAGACCACATGGGGCGTGCAGGAGGGATACAGGCCTTTGTGTTTTTCTTTTAGGCAAATGTGAAACTTTCCAAAAAGTTGCAAAAATAAAAATACATCAGTATCCATATAGAGAAACTTTATTCATATCCATCAATAGTTAACATGCTGAACACTGCTTTTAAGGAGCTCGGTAAGCAGTTCCGCCGAGGGGCACAACCTTGTGTGTGTAAGGGCAGCTGTGCGTCCAACACCCCCCGCAGGACCTCCTCCCCTCACTCACAGGGCCAGGGCTGCTCTGAGTATGTGTCCCAGGGCAGTGGCAGTGCGGGGACATCCTGCAATTCTGTCACAGTGACCAAAGGGCCAGAGAAGTGTTTCTGGGGGAGGTCACAGAAGGGGCAGGGGACCCAGCTGAAGGAGCAGGAGAAAAAGGCCTAGTCTCAGCCCTGAGCCCTTGGGGATCCCCTACTCACTGTTCTGGGAGTGCAGAGCTGGGGCAGCCAAGGGCCTGGGTGGAGGCTGTGGCCTCTGGTGCACTTTCAGAGGAGCCCTCACCAGCCATGTACTTCAGGACGTACTGGACCAAGAGGCCGATGGGAGACAGCAGCAGTCGGGCTGCTCAGTGACCCCCTGTGCTCGGCGACCTGCACGGAAACTTGGGGTGGGGGTGGGGATGTCAGGCCAGAGGAGGAGCCTGGCAGGGGGCTGTGGGCAAGAGGTCTGGCCCCACTGGGGCGTGGGTGTGAGGCACGGGGTCTGAAGATGTGCTGGGCCCCGGCCGATGCTGAGTGTGACATACTGCTGGAGACAGGATTCCCCTCCTGCTGCTGGCCCGGGAGGCCCGCGCTGAGGCTCAGGGCAGCTGCCTGGGACAGGCCATGGTGAGGGAGACACAGCTGGGACAGGACAGGGCAGACCTCCAGAACCACCCCCTAAGTACCTGGTGGGGACATGAGGAGGGCCGTGACCAAATACACAAAAAATGGGCTCAGAACATGACCATTAAAGGAGCAGCTGCGGTACCTCATTTGTCATGTTAGGCTGCTAAGGACTGGAGAACATACCACTTCTTTTTTCCTTTTTTTTTTGGTCTTTCTGAGGCAGGGTCTTGCTATGCAGTTCAGGCTGGCCTTGAGCTCACTTTGTAGCTCAGGCTGGTCTCGAACTTGAAACGATCCTCCTGCCTCAACCTCTTGCGTGCTGGGATTACAAGTGTGTGCCACCACGCCCAGCTCACACCTACCATTTCATCCATGCAGGGCAAGGAGCACTCCAGACCCTGCCAAGTCCCCCTGCTGTTATCACCATAGAGATTTTGGGGGTAGTTGAGATGGGGTCTCCCTATGTAGTTCAGGCTGTTCTTGAACTCACCACGTAGCATAGGCTGGCCTCGAATTCATGGCAATCCTGCCTCAGCCTCTAGAGTTACGGGATTACAAGCGTGCACTACCATGCACAGCCTGACACCAGCAATTTAAAGGAGGAAAGATGTATTTATTTATTTATTTTGGTACCAGAAATCGAACTCAGGACCTTGCACTTGCCAGGCAGGTGCTTATGCCACTGAGCTATATCCCCGGCAAGGAGGAAAGATTTGGTTCAGTTTATACAGGCTCAGGCCATCATCCACTGGCTCCAGGACAGAATGGGAAGGCAGAGAGCATAGTGGAAGAGAAACTGCTCTTGACAAGGTATCCAGAGAGCAGAAAGTCAAGGAGCTGCACGGAAAGATAAACCCCTCCAAGCCACACCCATGACCACCTCTTCTGACCAGACTCTGCCTGGAACAGCAAGTCAGCTGTAGGCCTCATTTTTTTTTTTTTTTTTTTTTGGTTTTTGGTTTTTCTCCGGTACCGGGAACCGAACTCACGACCTTGTGCTTGCCAGGCAGGCGCTTTGCCGCTGAGCTAAATCCCCAGCCCCAGCTGTAGGCCTCATGATCCAAGCACCTCCCAGAGGTCCCACCTGTGATCACCTGAGGCTACAGTGGGACACCTAACCCTAGTTAGCACCCGAACTGTAGTCCTCTTACGTAAGTGTTCAGAGGTCTCTGCACGTGACATACTGCCCTGGGAAATGAGCACACCTATCACCTGGGAGCAAAAGGGCCACAGAGGACTCACAGGCTTCCTGGGGCCACTCTGACCTGTGCCTGGGGAAAGAGGCTTGAAGCCATCTTTGCGTTTTCACCTGCTCCACCTCACAGCTTTGAGTGGTCAGATTCTGCAGGTCCAGCTTCTCTCTCTCTCAGCCTAGGAACCTGGTGTCGACCCTCCTGCCTCAGCCTCCCAAGTGCCAGGGTTACAAATTACATCGACACCACCCCCTCCAGCACTTTTTGTTTTGTTTTGTTTTGTTTTGTTTTTCCTCCGGTACTAGGAACCGAACTCATGACCTTGCGCTTGCCAGGCAGGCATTTTGGTTTTGCCGCTGAGCTAAATCCCCAGTCCCTAGGTTTTTTTTGTTTGTTTGTTTTTTTTCCCCCTCCAGCACTTTTAAAGTTGTTTTGAGACAGGGTCTTGCAAAATTGCTTAGTTACCCAATTTCTGGGGGACAGAACTAGAACTTGCGAGCCTCCTGGCTTGGCCTCCTTGGAAGCATACATGTTACAGGTGTGCACCACCATGCCCAGCTACTTCCCCAGTTCTTTACCTTGTTTTGGCAAAACTGATATGCTGGCCAAATTTCCTCGACTGCAAGAACAAAAACCCATGCTTACACACAAACTTTCTCTGTGGGAAGAATGAACAGCCACTTCTCTCAGGGAGAAGGATATGTGTTTTTTGGTTTTTCCCAGCCCGATTCTTCTGCCATATTTGGAGAAAAACTCCCTTTTTAAATTTTTTAATTTTTTTTTTTAAAGTTGTCTTTAGGGACATTGTAGACACGCCCCTGGACCCGGGTGCTGGGGGACTGCTTGGAGGGAGGGGAGGAGGCAGGAGAGGCCTGGCTCTGAGGAGACTCAGCAGGCTCCATGGTGCAGGTGGCTCTGCTAATTGAAGAGGAAATCGCTGGGAGGGGGGATGGGCAGTTTCCGAGATGACCCCTATCAGCTGGCCCAGGACCCAGGGGACAGTGAAATGTCAGCGGCCAGCGGAACCAAAAGTGAAACGTTTCATTTACATTTCACAAAACTTTTCCACCAAACAGCAAGTAGGGAAGAAACACAAAAGAAAGAAAGGACATTTTCACAATTCGGGACATTACAAGATAAGGAAGTGGCCCAACTCTGGGTAACTGGGGGAACTAACTCCAGGCCCCTAGAAACTCTCACCAGGGAGGGAGGGAGACCCTTTTCTTCCAGGACTTTGAGCTCCTTGGAGGAGAAAGTCAAGAGTGGATGTTGAGAACAACAGGGAACTGGTTTCATTTATAAATAACCCAGGAACATTTTGTTTTCAGTTTTCTGGGGCCAGGTTTTCCAGCACGCAGGGCTCTGGGGAGGTGTAACCGCCATGGTGGGTCAATGTGAGCATCGCTGGGGACAGAACTTGGCAGGGGCATTCACAGGATTGAACAACCACCTCATTTAGAATCCTCTGCCTCAGGCTCTTCCTTGGACCAGCCCAGAAATGTCATCTCCGGGGAGGATCCTTCATCTCTTCTAAGGCGGAGACGAGTCCTTTGGCTTCAAGGCTGACCCAGGAAGTCTGGACTGGGCCCCCGGAGGCTCTGGGTCACCAGTTGGCACAGAGCCTATGATGACAGCCCCCGCCCGAGACCATCAATATGCTGGGTGTGGCACTTGTAATCCCAGCATTTGGGAGGCTGAGTTAGGAGCACTGCTTTGAGTTCGAGGCCAGCCTGAACTATAATGCTCAACGTGCAGGCCAGGCAAGCTTCAAATTCTTGGGTGATTTTCACCACGCCCAGCCACTTGTATTATTTGCAACGCTGTGAACCAAAACTAAAGTCTTGTGTATACTAGGCAAGCACTTGTGAAGTATACCGCCAGCTCTATAAAGCAATGCTTTGTTGTTTGGGGGTTTTGTTTCAGGGTTTTTTGGTACTAGGGGTTGAACCTGCACCTCATGAATCTAGACAAATGCTCTACCACTAAGCTACACCCGTTTTTACTCCCTCCCAGTACTGCGGATGGACCCAAGGCACTCCACCGAGTTACATCCCTAGACTCTTTTTTTTTTTTTCTTTCAGTACCAGGAATCGAACTCACAACCCTGCGCTTGCCAGGTGGGCGCTGTGCCGCTGAGCTAAATCCCCAGCCCCCATCCCTAGACTCTTGACACAGGGTATCACTAAATTGATTAGGCTGGCCTCAAACTTTTAATTCTCCTGCCTCAGCCTCCTGAGTAGTTCAATTACAGATGTGAGCTGTCATGCCCGGCTATTTATTTGGGAGGTGGGTGGAGGCTCACCGTGTTGCCCACGCTAGTCTCCAATTTGTGGGGCGATCCTCCTGTCTATCCGGAGCAGCCGGGAATGACAAGCGTGCCACCCCCGCCAGCTTCCCCTGTTCACTGTAGACCTCTCCAACAGCCCCCAGGCCCTCCTCCACGTTCAGGTGGCCTGACACTAACACTGGTTACGTAACAATCACAGCCCGCAAAGCGCTGACGTCACCCACTAAGGCTTCTCCGCGTCTGGGCGGCCAAGTGGGTCTAGGTGGGCTCGGGATGGCGGGGGCCTGAGCCGCATGGGACGGCCGGGAAGAGGCGAGGGGGGCCGGCAGCGCACGCAAGTCGGCGCAAAAGACGGTAACTGGTGGCGTCCCTGGCAGGAAGGCGGAAGCATTTGGGTTTTTAATTCTCCCCAAGTCCCCACAAGATTCCGTTGCTGCCCTACATTTCCCCTTTGCTCCACATGGGGAGTTTCCGATTTCCCTTCCTCAAAACTCAAGCGGCCGGCTTCCTCTTACCGCCCCCGTCCTGCCGCAGCGCCCGCCTCTCAGCGGCCGCCGGCTCCCTCCACAGGTCACGCACCGGAGCCCCCGCCGCGGCCCCGCCGGCCCGCCCCGCGCCTTTCCTCAGCGCGCTCCTCCTCCCCGTCTTTCTTTCCTCGTCACTCCCCATCCGAGCCTCTCTACTCTCTCAGCTGCCTCCACTACCTCCTTCCTGCCTCTCCTCCCCGGAACAGCAAGAAGGTGCGGGAATGAGAGGGGGGCGTGTCCGGGAAGCCGGGGCGAGGAGGCGCGCCGGGGCGCCAGGGCTCCTCCGACACGCGTGGCCGTTCTGAAGCAGGCACTGCGGGTGGGGCGCGCCGACGGGGAGCAGGGCTTGAGGTCCACTGGTGCTGGAAGGCGCGCAGGCCCGGGACCACCTCGCGCCTGACCTTATGGGGCTTTGCAACCGAAGTAGTTCTCAGAGCCACCCCGCACTAGGAGGGACAAAACAAACGTGGTTGCCACGGCACCGCACTCAAGGTATCGCGAGATTTGAAATTAGCCAATGGAAACCGGGGAAGAGGAAAACGTGGCACGCACCTAGGGGCGGTGCCGGTAAGGGTCCCTCCCGCGTCCACCCCTTCCCCGCGGGCCAGGCGGCGGCCGCGCGCAACACGCTCGACCCTATAAAGGGCGCTGGGCAAGGCGCGCGCTCCACTCAGCAGAGGGCGCCTCCGCGAGCCGTGCCGTGCGCTTGCGCAGTGCGGACAGCTCCCCGCCCCCGGCCCCGCTGCCCCAGCCGCCAGCCGCCCTCAGCCGGCCGGCCGGCCCCTCCTCGGCCCCGCGCTTAGCCTGCTCGTTGCCCCGCAGCAGCCTCCAGCCAGGTCTACAGCAGCATGTTCAGCTGGGTGAGCAAGGATGCCCGCCGCAAGAAGGAGCCGGAGCTCTTCCAGACCGTGGCCGAGGGGCTGCGGCAGCTGTACGCGCAGAAGCTGCTGCCCCTGGAGGAGCACTACCGCTTCCACGAGTTCCACTCGCCCGCGCTGGAGGATGCTGACTTCGACAACAAGCCCATGGTGCTCCTCGTGGGCCAGTACAGCACTGGCAAGACCACCTTCATCCGGCACCTGATCGAGCAGGACTTTCCCGGGATGCGCATCGGGCCCGAGCCCACCACCGACTCCTTCATCGCGGTCATGCACGGGCCCACCGAGGGCGTGGTGCCGGGCAACGCGCTCGTCGTCGATCCGCGGCGCCCTTTCCGCAAGCTCAACGCCTTCGGAAATGCCTTCCTCAACAGGTACCCCGCTCTGGCCCTGGCGGCGCGAGGGCTTGCCGGGCCGGGACCCCACACCCGGGGCGCGACCCTCCTGCGGCCGCCGACCCTACCTCCCTTTGTCTCCGGCTGGAGACCGTGGGTGACCACTCCCAGGGACAGGGTCCCTGCCTCGCCGCCTCGAAGACGCTCTCCAGTCCCCCGCAGGGTCTGGGAGTGGCCATCGCGGGTTCCTCAGGCTCCTGTTGCCCCCACGATCTTCCCGGTTATCAGTTTAACTCCCAAACCCTCTCGCAGAACCCAACCCCACTTTGCGCAGAACCAGGGGCGGCACTCAGGAAGCTGAGCCATTACTGCCCTCCTGTTCTTGGTCTCCACCTCCTTTCTTAGCCTGTATGCCCCTAATTCATTCAAGTCACCCCCCTGGGGAGTCTGTTTCTTAAGTATCCTAGGAAAACCCTGCCCCTTCCGGTATGGTGTCGGGTGGTGATGTGTAAGAGGGCCAAGGAAAGGTCTACCTTGGCCAACTGACTTTGGGGCTGCTCCCTGCAGGCAAGGGGCAAACGTGGCAGGGGACAGACTTCACCCCAAGACAGCTCTTATGGTCAGTGCTGCTCCAGCGGCTTCAGGAGACCAGAGCCCTGGGAGCCCCGAAGTGAATTTTAGGCTCCAAGTCCCCCTGTAGACTCAGTGGGAGCGTCCTTAACCTACTAGGGCCTCAGTTTCCTCCGTTAAATGGGTGAGACTTGCATCCTCCTAATTAGAGCCATCCTCCAGCTCTCCCTCCGCATGGCCTCACCTCAACAGAGCGCACCTCTCTCTGAAGGAACTCCAGGCATCCTGCCCCCACCCCTAGGACTGGTGCCACAGGCCCTCCCAGACCCTGCCCTCCTGCTCCCTCTTTCAGGCAGTGGTGAGGCCACATGCCTTTGGAGTCTGAAGTCTGTGTCAGGGGAAGCGCCTAAGAAGGAATCTGAACCCTGCCTGCCAAGTCTCCGCCCCTGGTGATCACATTCCTTTCCAGACACTGTCCAGTGCACACGCGGGCTGCTGAGCCCCGCCACTGGGGCCAGGCCTGTCTGCGTCCCTGACATTTAGTGTCTTTGCCTGTTCCAGCCTTCTTAGGCTGTCTTTCTGATACTATGCTGATGGTGTTGGCTGTCAGGGCCCTTTGGGCTGAGGCTTGTGAAGGGTTGGTCCTCTTAGCCATCCTCTGAGGTACAATACTTGTGTTTTAGCTTAGTATCTGCCTGAACATAGGCTCAGCCTGTAGGTGGGGCTGCCCTTCATTCTTGTGAGAAGCGGGGCTCCCGCACTGGAAGGGCCGCTCCAGAGGTCTGCTCACAGGCAGAGCTCTGGGAGTGACAGGAAAGGTGGCTGTTTTGACCTTTGTTGTCCATAGGTCTTCACTTGATTGTGAGGGCCAATCTTTTTTGAAAGGAGAAATAGCACTTGACCCATTTTCTGCCTTTGGAAGCCTAGAGTTTCAGAGTGGAGAGGATCTTAGATATCATCTCAGCAGCCCCACCTGATCAGTTTCCTGAGGCTCAGAGGGCCCAGCTGATGTGTCAAGGTCACCCATTAAGTTAAGCTAGCATCCACTGCTGCTTCTGCTTGGAAAGAGGACAGCTCAGGAACCCTGGGTCAGAGATAGGCACCTTGATGGCGTGTGGACCACCAGTTCCAAGAATCACGCTTTCCTGTCCTTCTTGCCATCACCTCATCCCGGCCCAGACTGCTAACAGCCCTGCCAAGGGGGCCTTACCAGCCACCGCCTGGGCCCAAGCTGTGTCAGGATGTGTGGTGCACAGGGTGACGCCTGCCAGGGAGGGCACAACAAAAGGGGCTTTTCTGTGGCCAATACAGCCTCTCCCAGCTCTCTTAAAGAGACACGTTGAGTCATGAACTTGACTTTCGGGCCTTTTTCCGTTGAGTGGCTGCTGTAGGAATGTAGTCAGATAGAGCAGAGTGAGGTAGGGCATGGTCAGGGAGTCCTGAGCCCAGCTCGGTGTGGAACCAGCCCTCCCACTTGTAGAGCAAGATGGAGATGGAATGAGGTTCACAGTATCTGGACTGCCTGTCACACTCCCTGGGTTCAGCAGAGTATCCTGTCCCCATGTCCTGCAAACATTCCCTTGCTCACCAGGTTCCCTTTACGGGACTTTTTTATGTATGTTATTTCTCAGAGCCAGCTCTGCTTCCATTCCTTTGCTCCTGTCATCCTCTCTGGTGAGTGTCTTCCTGCTCAGGAACTCCAGCTTGGGCTCACAGTGACACTGGGCAGGCGTGCTCTGGGCTGGGCTGGTGAGGATGAGGTCCAAAGTCTGCTTGCCTGGCAGGTCAGCTCGTTCTGCTCTGTTGCATTTGCAGAGAGCACTTCTCACGCTGCCCGGCTGCCCCCAGCCTGTGGGCCACTGAATGCTTGGGGGCTGGGGCTATAGGACAGGCTAATCAGGCCCAGGCCTCCCATCATTGGAAGGTTAGCTTTGAGCCTGTATCCTACAGACAGTGGGTCCATATTTCCTTTCCTCACAATACCTTTCTCAGAGATGTTTTTAAAGGATCCTTTTCTGTGTTCAGTAAAGAATTGCTCTCAGTTGAACCGCCCCATGCTGTTCTGGGCTCCCCGGAGCCCTGTGGAATGGAGACCCTGCTGCCAAGCGCGCGCCCGCACACACACACACACACACACACACACACACACACGCCATCACCACCACCACCACCACCCCTCCCCCCCAGGTTCAGGCCTGTCTGCAGCTTTGTTCTCAGCTGGCTTTGACTTTCAGAGATTGGTCTGTTTGTACTTCCCTCTCCGCCATCAGCCAGCCCTTGCGGTGCCCCCAGCTTTTACCAGTGTTCCATTGCAGCCCCTTCACCCAAGCAGCTGGGTCAAAAAGGGAGGGCTGGCCCCAGCAGCAGTAGGCCATCTCTCTTCAGGGTGTGGAAATTCAGCCAAATGGCTGGAAATTCTCTAATGGGATTATGGGGTCCCCATGTCAGGCTGCTGTTTCCCTTCTGAATTGACTGGTGGCCTAGGCAGGGAAACTGTCAGGATGGAGTCCTCACGGCTCCCAACAAGTCAGCAACTTGGAAGTTGAACTCTTGAACTCTGGAGGGAAAACAAGCATGAGAAAAGCACTGCTGTGGGCCCTCTGGAGACCTCTGGCTGTGTCTGCAGTTGAAGGGGGTGAGATATTGAGGGCTTGCAGGTATGGCTGCACGGTGGAGCATGTATTTAGCATGTACATAGGCCCTGGGTCTACCATGCCACCCCCCAAAAACAAGATTTGTCCACTTTGCTGGCCACCCAAAAATCAAGATGATAGGAAACAAGAGTCCAGGGTGGGAGCGGAGGACCGGAGCCCTCCCCTGTGGCGTCGGGAGCCTTGAGGACTCTGTCCTGACAGCTCCCTGGCTGTGCTCTTCTGCAGGTTCATGTGTGCGCAGCTCCCCAACCCAGTCCTGGACAGCATCAGCATCATCGACACACCTGGGATCCTGTCAGGAGAGAAGCAGCGCATCAGCAGAGGTAAACAGGCCGACCTGGCCCCATGACAGCCCTATCTACTATCTTCGATGCTGCCCTTGAGGCATTTTTTAAAAAGTGTCCACGTGAGGGAGCACGAGCAGCTTTCTTCTTCACCTCCCAATGTTCAGATGACAAAAGCCCCTTCCCCTTAGCAGCAAACCCGCTGAGGCATGTTGGTTATAGGGAAGGTGGGGCTCCAGGCCATGCAGTGAGGTGGGAGGGAACTGGCCAATAGCTGTGCCCAGGTGGCCTGGTCATCACTGCTGACACCTGAGGAGCAGCTGACCCTCTGGGGCTCATGTGGCTCAGTTTGCCTTTAGGAACTTTGCCTCCCAGCAGGACTGAGCCCGCCAGGCAAAAGGAGAAACTAGCAGAACCACTTCGGGGCTGCGGAAATTGTTTAAATTTGCTTAGTGCTTGCTAGTCAGCAGCCTTGTGGGGGCTGTGTACTGAGTGAGGGCCTGAGGTTTTCCTGCTGCATACTAGTGCTCTGGGCCCTGTTCTGGCTGTGTTGCCTCTTCTCCAGGTTTTGCAGTGCTTTTTCTTCTCCCCATTTGGTACCGGGAATTGAACTCAGGACCTTGCACTTGCCAGGCAGGTGCTGTGCCACTGAGCTGTATTGTTGGTCCTGCCATGCTTTTTGAAAATCTGATTCCAAGTGATTCTGGGTCAGGATTCTGCTCCTGCCTCTCTGTAGAAGGGAGGGCCAGAGTCTCTTCTGGGGCAAGTGGAACTTATAACTGCAAAGAGAAAATAAAATAGCCTCAGACCCAAGGAGAGGTGGAGGACCAGGGGCCAGGTTCACTTATCACTAACTCGTATATGTTTTTGTGTCCCTTGCCCTCTGGACCGCCCTGTTGGAGGGAGCCTTGCAGTTGAAACCAGCAATCTAGGATTTGGGGTTCTGTTATAGCTGAGGGTGTCAGGCCTCTGTGGTGTGTCTGTCTTTCTGTCTGTCTTTCTCTTTTCTTTTTTTTTTGTACTGGAAATTGAACTCAGGACTTTGTACTTGCGAGGCAGGTACTGTGCTGCTGATCTATACCCCTAGCTCTCTCTCTTTCAGTTCTAGAGATTGAACTCAGAGCCTGAGAGCCTTTGGGCTGAGCTAGATCCCCAGCTCTTTGTTTAGCTTTTTATTTTGAGACTGGCTGGGCTTGAACTTGCGATTCTCCTGCCTCAGCTCCCAGAGTGTTAGTATTGTAGGTGTGTGCTACTATACCCAACTCCTACACTCTTGCTGGGCTGTGGACCCTGGCCAGTGTGGCGTGCTAAGTTAGAGCACACGGGGAAGTCTGCCTCCACTCAGGATTAAAAGCTGAGAGTTCAAGGAAACTGATTTCAGGACCCCTTCTAACAAAGCCAGAGCCAGTTTTCTTCTTTCTTACTGCTGCTGTTGTTCCTACCTGGTGTTTATAAAATGCCTGATAAGCCAATGCTCTGTCAATTGCCAGTGCAAGGCCAGACAATCTAAATAAGTTACTCTTAAAGTGCTGTTAACAGTAAGGGGCCGTTTCTCAGCCTGCTGTGAGCTGAGGAATCCTGGCTTTCCTATCAGGCCTATAGAGGAGGCCAACAGATAGACACAGGCCCGTGCAGCCTTGGATAAGGAACAAGTGCTCATCAGAAGAGGCTTATCTTGCCAGAATGCCCCTGCCTGTGTGGTGTTTGAGGACTAAGTGAAGGCATTGGAGGGAAGAGGTTTGGGGTTCTTGGGATTGCTCTTGACTCATGAAAAGGAACTTGGCAGCAGCTATTTTCCTTGTGTCCGAGGTTCCCCTGCTGCATTGTCTGCTACCCCAGTCCCGTTCTTCAGAGCTTAGCAGGCTCAGCAGCTTAGACTGTCTCTCTTGCATTGGGATCGCTGGCCCTGCTTGCTGGGGTGCATCCCTCCCCCGCTTTGTTTCCTGTTGGGAAGAAGATGTGGCAGGGTCTAAACTGGATCTCTCTGGGACAGGGTAACAAAGTAATGCTTCTGTCACCTTGGCAGTGAGTTTCCATGGGGCAGGAAGACACCAGGATGCCAGGCAGCACCAACCTTCAGGTACCTTGATACATGAGGAATGGGCCAGCAGGAGATGCCGAGGCCCTTTGCTTGGCCCTGCTCTGCCTGTGGGGAAGATGGAGCCCTGCAACCAGGTTCCCCATCTCGACAGAAGGCCTCCCTGGCCACATCCTTGCAGAAGGGTGCCGAGAGGTCAGCGTGTTGCTCTGACTAGAGGAGGGCTTTTGCTGGGAAATAGCAAGTTCAAACCTATTTTTTCAGACCATTCCTTTTCTCCATATCTCTAAAGATCCTGCTTTTATTTGTTTTTGGTACCAGGAATCGAACTCAGGCCCTTGCACTTGCCAGGCAGGGGCTGTGCCGCTGAGCTATATCCCCCGCCCCATTTTTATTTTAATTAATTCAAATTCATTTATTTTTCTTTTTGGTTTCTTGAGGCAGTCTTGCTGTATGGTCCAGGCTGGCCTCAGACTCGAAGTGATCCTCCTGCCTCAGTCTCCTGAGTGCTAGGATTACAGGCATTGGCCACCATTCTCAGCTAAAGATCCTGGTTTAAATGTGTCTTAGTAAGTGTTATCCACTTGGGGGTTGGGGCTGGGAGTGTTGCTTTTGTGGTTCTAGGGATTGAATCCAGGGCCTTATGTATGCTAGGCAACTATTCTACCTTTGAGCGGGGGGATCTTTTTAAGACAGGGTCTCGCTATGCAGTTCAGGCTGGCCTTGAGCTCACTTTGTAGCCCAGGCTGGTCTCAAACTCGCAACGATCCTCCTGCCTCAGCCTCCCGAGTGCTGGGATTACAGGCGTGTGCCACCACGCCCGGCTTAACATTGAGTTATATATCCCAACCCTGAGTTGCCCAGTATGCTCATTATTCTCTTACCTGAGCCTGTCAAATTGCTAGAACTACAGGCATGCACTGCTGCGCCTGGTTTGGAGTGAGGCGTTTGACCATCAGGAGAAAGGCTGTTCCTTGGCACCTGTTGGAGGTGCAGGCTGTGGACTCCAGAGTGGTCACTGTCAGGTAGACATAAGAGGAATGGACTTCGCCTTCTCAGAGACCCTACCCATGGGTCACACACATGTGTGTGGCCCTGCCCAGCAGAGGAAGTCAGAACAGAGCAGAGTGTTCCAGGCTCCCTTGGCTGGTGGCATGGAAAGCAGGTGTTTCCCTCACAGAAAGATAGGCCCAACAGGGAACACAGATCTTGGGATCTGCGCAAGCGGCAAAAACATTCCTGCAGAGACCACTTTGTATGTTTGCGTTGCTAATGACATTTGCTTCCATCCCCAGCCCTGTCTGCTTGGCCCCTCCTGGCTTTTTTTTTTCCCTTTTCCTCCATGGTCCTAATGTGTGCAGGAAATACTGCCAGGAAAGATAAGGTGGGGCTGGTGCAGGCCCCGTGCCATCTGGATGCCGCCCTGGGTCTGCTGGGGACCTCTGAGAATTTAGGAAAGAAGGGTCTTCTTTTGGGGTATCAGTATGCTGATCTTCTGAGTGACTTGACAGGTAACATTCTCCTGTGGCAGCAGAGAAAGGTGGCCTGTGAGAACAGTGTTCACTCCTGAGTGCTGCCCTGCCTGTGTGACTGATAAAGGGCCTTCCACACGGCAGCTAGGGCCTCACAGGGCTGGTCCCTTGGCTCCCAGGGCGATGATGACCTGCAGTCACGGTGGTGCCTGGGAGTGGGGTGTTCCCATGTCCCTCCTCCAGGAGGCATGCTTAGGTGCCTGCCTGGCCGCTGTGCTCCCCACCACCGAGCTGAGCTGTAACTCATGCCTCAGTTTGCCCCACAGAAATTCTGTCAGCAGAGGCGTGGCAGCCCCAGTTTGGGTTAGGAGGTGGAGACCTGGCTGATAGGGACTTCCTGCTGGACTGCCCTGTCAGCTCAGCCTGCTCAGTGTCACAGCAGCTGCAGCTGTGCGGAAGCCACTGCCCTTCAGAGGAGGAAACAGGCTGAGGAACATTCAGTGATGAGCCCCAGATGACACAGGCCAGTCAGAGGTGGCGCCAGGATTCAAACCCCTGCTGCGGCTGTGCACACACCGAAGGGTAGCCAAGGTGTATGAGGCCTGGGTGCCGGGGTCAGGTAGACCTTTGTTTGCCCCTGCTGGTCATGACTGTGCAGGACTGAGCCCCCTTGAAATGCAGAGGCTACCCTCAGTTCCTCCCAGCCAAAGTCCAACTCTGTGTCCAGGAATAGACCTAAGGCCTGGGGCTTGCAGCAACAGTGTCCCTGACCCCTCCTTCCTGCCATCTATGTATGGAGAGGCACACAGAGCCCTGGCCTGGGCCAGCTGGTCCCCTTCGATCTCACTTGCCTTTTGGCCAACTGGCTCTGGTTCCCCGGGCTCTGTCTAAGCTCTCCTGACCCACAGTGGATCAGGCTTCCCTTGCCGAAGCCCATCCCTTCAACCTGGAGCCTGGTGACCACAGATGGGGCTGCACTATCCCTGTGCTCCCCTAAGCCAGTCTTCCTCCTGCTGGCTGCTCCTGGGAACCCACCCCAGCACCCTCCAGACCAGGGTTCCCAGGTATTCTGCAGACCAGGGGTGCTGCAGGGAGCATCAAGTGCTGTGTCCGTCAGAGAATATCAGGTTAAAATCTCAGGTCACTCTTGGAGCAGCTGGGTGGCCCTATGGAGTTGCTGTAACCATGGGGCCACATCACTGTGAGAACAACAATACTAGCCTCTTTGGGTTATGATAAGAACTTGCCTGTACCAGGTTTTTGCCCAAGTGGCTGGTACGTACATAGTTAAGTGTTCAACAGATGTCAGCTGATTAGCAATAGAGACCAAAAACTCCAGTTTCCCAGGCTTTGCTGTTTTTCTGAGTAACATCCCAGAATGATCCTTGGGGTAGCACTGACTCGGCCCAAGTTTCCCTCCAGATTCCAGAACCGCCTCTGGCGGCCACCTTCCCCTCCTGGTGCCGCCCTTCTCCGCCCTGGCCCAGCAGGCTGCCTTGGCTAGCACTGCCTGTGGAGGCGGCGTACCA